CATTAACTCTTTCCTCTCCGCTGCATTTGGAAAAAGTTTTCTCCTTGGATGCTTCCCCGGGCTGGCAGATGGGTGATTTACTGCTTTATTTCTTTTTATTTCGCATTTCCAGTGCTCACAAGATGGCTCCAGGCAACATACTTGGTAACTCGGCTTAAAATAAATGCACGGAGATAATGAATTAAAACCAAAGTCATATGTTGCAAATGCTTTGAATTCTCCCATCTTTTTTAGACACAGAGGGCTGCTGTGCTGGTGCCTGTATATTGTGTATTTATTTTCCCTTATTTCAACAAAGCCGTTGCTGTGTCCCAAAGTCATGTGATCCCCTTTTGTGAACTTCTGACCAACAAAGTCAATGGGGGAAACCCGATTCACTTAACAACCGGGTTACTAACTTAACAACTGCAGTGATCCACTTACTTTATCTGCATCGCAAACCTCCAGAGCAACACTAGATGGTGTCAGAGAGCTACAGAAAAGTTCTAAATTTTGCCGCCATCTAATGGCTGTTCAGAGCACTGCACTCTATTGTAAAGTTGGGTTTTACTCAGAGAGTAAAATGGAGTTGCCATTTTTGCATCGATACCGAGATAAAGGTTACAGCTTTCATTTGGGTGACCCCAACCCAGCCTGAACCTGGATTGTAAAACCATGGTCAAATCCTGGCTTGCTTCGAATCCTACATTGGCTATGGGCTAAGCTAAAATAGGCATATAAAATGTAATGCTTCAGGAAGAGCAGCATAGATGTTTTAGCATTCCTTTGTGGGCTGTATGTTGTGTGAATCCAGCAACTGTGTTAAATTAGCCTGGATTTGGACCCATCTTTTCCTGCTTAAAACTACCAGGTTGTGCCTTTCTCCTTTGGCTTTCTGTCTCCTCCTCTCCCAGATTGTTTCCCCCCACCACAAATAGTTTCCTTCCCCCAATACAAGTGGTATTTATTTGTCTTTAGCAAGAGAGGTTTTTCACAGCAGCATGTTACGATAGAAAACACACTTGCTGGGGCCTAAATGAGATCATGGTTGTGTCTGCAGTTGAAGGGCGTGCTTGCCAACATGTGTTTTCTGCTTTGGGACCTTCATTCTTTCAAAGATGAGGTTGTGTATGACCTGGGTTGTGTCCCCATGGCACTGGTCATCTCCTAGATGTTGGAAGCGGGCCCCTCAGCCATCTGTTGGGAGTAGACGTTGAGTTTGATGGAGCTTCCACCGATACACGCAGGCAGATCTGAGATGCCCTCAAGGGGTTTTCTCCTGCAGCCAGAAAGGAGAAGGAAAGAAGGAGAAGTGGAGATGGACAAGGAGAAGAAGGGGAGAAGAGGAGAAGGAAAGAAGGAGAAGATGGGGAGAAAGAGACAGGAGGGAGGAGGAGAAGAAGAAGGAGGAGGAAAAAAGTTGGGCTGGTATCTAGAAAGGCTGTTCAAATAACTTTCTCTGACTCATTCTTAGTCCGTTGGCTTCAAGTGTGTTAACCTTGTTGCTTGACGATCTCGAGGGGTAACGGGGAGGGGGGGGGCGTTTAGCAATCCCATTTAGTAATTCCACTGGAATTCTTTCTGGAATCCTGCAGCTGGGCGGCTGGAGACGGGCCTCCAGTTACAAGCAAGCAGAAGAACTTAAGGAGGACTCCGTTCCAGGCTGGGCTCTCATGACAATTCCTCCCAGCACAGCCACACTGCAATTTCCCAGAAGTGTTTTCATGGCTAGGCGGACCGAGAGACCCTGGTTACGTAATCTTGGGTTCCCTTGTGGTTTGCTGCCTCTCCCCCCCCCCCACTTTATGCTCAACTCTGCTTATCGAGGAATGGATTAGTCAGTTCTGTCACAACGGAGCAGACAATGGCTCCTTTCGTGGGCCTGGAATGGTGGCTTTCCTTTCAGAAGTGGGGTGGGTTTAATTCATCTCGGCCTGATGGTAAGGAGAGGAATTTGGATCCCCCCCTTCTCTCTCTTTAATTATTTGGAAGTTTTACAGGGCAAAAATTAAAAGTGGATCTTTGGTACAAGGTAGAAGAGAATATAGGGTTGAACTGTGGGTTCCTTGGTGCTCTCTGAGCTTGGCGGTTTTCATGGTGATGTTTCATGACCCAACTAGGTAACTTCATCAGTGCTAGAAGGGAGTGGGGTGTGTGGAGAGGAGGAGGAGGAGGAGGACTGTGGTGGTCTCTGAGCTTGGTGGTTTTCTTGTAGATATTTCATGACCGAACTAGGTAACATCTTCAATGCTACTGTTGATGTTGCTGTAGCACTGATGATGTTACCTAGTTTGGCCAAGAAATGTCCACAAGAAAGCCACCAAGCTCAGAGAGCACCACAGACCCTACAGTTGGTACAAGGTGCCACCAAATGAAGGTGTTGGAGAACCACCATCGGCCAATTCCAAATTCCTGGTTCAAATCCTGAGAGGAAATTGATCCGTAGGGAATTAGCCCCATCCTAAAGGTCTATAGCAGATCATGGCGCCGGCTAATAATCCTTGAGTTTCTGTAGTCGAAATATGTGAAAATAAATACACACACACTACCCTCTCAAAACAAATGGTTGTAAGTTGAGGATTGCCTGCCTAGTATCTCTGACGATCCACCCATCTTCTCTTTAAACATCTCCAGCAGAAAAGAGTTTTAATTCACTCAGGAAAAAATCACGGTGAGAACATTGAAAGAGTAGTTCCTGTATTTTCCTCTTGGACGTCTCCTCTTCCTCCCCCCAGTTCTTCTCCCTTAATATTATGTCTGGGAGCAGGAGCATCCTGAGTAGCTCCTCTCTGCCAGCCAGTTCTGGAAACCCTTGATCAGAATACCAGAGTTGGAAGGGACCGTGGAGGTCTTCTAGTCCAACCCACTGCTGAAGCAGGAGATCCTATCCCATTCCGGACAAATGGTTGTCCAATCTCTTCTTCAAAACCTCTAGTGATGGAGCACCCACAACTTCTGGAGGCAAGCTGTTCCACTGATCCCAGATGGCTCCACCTTGACCCACTTTGGACTAAGAAGGAGAGAGGTGAAAGTCACTCAGGCTGACAAGGTGACGCTGTTCTGGTTGGAGGGCTGGATCAAAAGCTTAGAAACCAGAGGCAAAATCCAGCGCAAACAAAGCAATAGATATCAGATGGCTGGACGGCTATCTAAACAGGAATTCCTTCCTGCCATTGTGTGAGATAAAATAGCCGCTGCTTCATTCTGGTGTTCTATGCAAAATGACTCTTCCTTCCTGAATTCTCTGAAAACAAAGAAAAAGTCAGCTGGGAAAAAAGACTATGAAGGTCTGTTGGAAAATGAAGTGACAGCACCTGATTATTGACTGTCTTGTTCCCTATCCTATCCTATCCTATCCTATCCTATCCTATCCTATCCTATCCTATCCTCTTCCGTTCCCCTTTCCTTTCCTTTCCTTTCCTTTCCTTTCCTTTCCTTTCCTATCCTATCCTATCCTATCCTATCCTATCCTATCCTATCCTATCCTATCCTCTTCTGTCCCCCTTTCCTTTCCTTTCCTTTCCTTTCTTTTCCTTTCCTTTCCTTTCCTTTCCTTCCCTTCCCTTCCCTTCAACTGAAGAAGCTTCCAAGATGAGAAACGAAACGTTTTTCAAGGGGAAAAAACCAGCCAAGAAAGTCCAGTTGCCTTTTGGAAAAATCACCGTTGGGATCACTTAAACGTGAGCCAGTCGTGTGCAGCAGCAGCAGCAGCCAAACAAAGCTTGGTTGTATAAACAGAGTCATAGAATCAAAATCACGTGACGTGTTAGTGCCATCTTTAGTAAGGCCACACCTGGAATATCGTATCCAGTTTTGGTCACCACATTACAAAAAAAAAAAAGAAAAGATATTGAGACTTTGGAAAAAGTGCAAAGAAGAGCAACTAAGATGATTAAAGGCCTGGAGACAAAAACATATGAAGAAGGGTTGCAGGAATTGACTATGGCCAGTCTAGAGAAAAGAAAGACTAGGGGTGACATGATAGCAGTCTTTCAGTGTTTGAGGGGCTGCCATAAAGAGGAGGTGGGTCAAATTATTCTCCAAGGCACCTGAGGGCAGGACAAGAAACAATGGAGGAAACCAACAAGGAGAGAAGCAACCTGGAACTAAGGAGAAACTTCCTGACAGTGAGGACAATTAACCAGTGGAACGGCTTGCTTCCAGACGTTGTGGATGCTCCATCACTGGAGGTTTTTTTAAGAAAAGACTGGACAGCTACCTATCTGAAATGCTACTATAGGATCTCCTGTTTGAGCAGGGGGTTGGACTAGAAGACCTCCAAGGTCCTTCCCAGCTCTATTCTGATGGCTTGACTTCCTGTTGAAACAAAACTTGGCTTTGTGTGCCCGCCGCAGATCCGGAAGGGCGACAAAGGGCATCCAGAGATGTTTTTCTCCCGCTAGGAATTTCCCAACAGTCTTTCTTTCTCTCCGAAGCTGCACGCTTGACCCTTTGGCTCTCCGCAAAACCGTGACTCTAAGGAGTTAAGTGTGTGTTGTGGGCGTTCCAGGCCTTCCTGATGTCACGCCAGAAAATGAAGGAAGGCCTTTGTTGGCAACTCAAGCTTTGCAAATCGGAGGAGTGAGGAGCGACACAGCGCCTCCCTAGACAGACAGACGGACGGACGGAGGGATGGGGGAAATTTAGGAGCTTTTTTTGCTCCATGTAACTTCAGTCTCTCTCCCTCCAGGTCCCTATCTTCTCCTCCCCCCTCTTCTTCTTTTTTTTTGGGGGGGAAAGCCAACTTCTCTCTTTCTTTTCCGCCGGACCCGTTTAAGGAAGCCCGAAGAATGTAAAACGAAGGAGAAGCAGCTTCTAACTTTTGGGGAGAGGCGCAATGGACGGTGTCAGAAATGGACGGTCGGCGTTGAGCTAATGGTTTTCAGAAGGCTGGATTTATAGTGGATTTGGTTTTTGTTGTTTTTTTAAAAAGAAAAGAAAAGCAGAGAGGGGGGTTTTTGGCCTGGAAGTTTAGGGAGAAGAGGAAGAAAGCGGGGGGTCCGTGGGGGCAATCGGGCTGGAGGTGTTCCTCTAACCAATGAAAATGTTGGAGATTTGCCTGAAATTAGTCGGTTGCAAGTCAAAAAAAGGGCTGTCCTCCTCTTCCAGCTGCTATTTGGAAGGTAAGTCCAGAGCTGCCCTGGTTGAAAAGTAGGGGGGGGGTGTTCCCCCTCTGTTTTGCTGTAGGCCTGTAGCTGGTCTCTATGTCTGGAGTAGAAGTCCTTCT